TATATTCATGCGGCAAAAAGTCTATTACCTGGCAGTTGACTCCTCACTTCAAACTACTATCACCTCACTCTATGCCATATCCGACTATTTTCACAGTACTCACCTCAACTTTGTTCTACCTTTGTGTTTGTCTCTTACATCTTTGAAACACTCTTCTGTTCCCCCCCCCTCTCGACTTTTTTCAATTTGATGTTCCTTCCCCTCGGTGAAGCCTGAAGTCAACTAAAGGGCTAATGATAACCATCAAGACGCCTGCCATTTGATATAAATAAATAAATACTTTTATAGTCCTAATATTCCAGCACTATGTTTTGTTGTTGTTTGTTTATAAAAACAAAGTAACGATTTTGACCTTTTCGTACCCTATTGACGCATCTAAGCCCAAAGCAAGATGCCGAATCAATGTAAGACAGTTGCCTCAAATATTTCCCATGTGTTTACTCTGCGGGTTATTTGTCTCCCAATGCCATATATTTAATGAGGTAAGAGACAAAGGCTTAAAATTTCGTCTCCAACTCTCGTTAAAATCATTCTACCCCTTGGACCTCTCCAATGTTAGTTGTTTAGTTGTGTTTAAGTTGGTTTTAACTTATTTTGAAAGCTATAGGATGTCATTCATTTCTACTGTTCTAGTCATACACTTCAAAACGAGAATCTGATTTGTGTGTACGAGAACGAAAACTGTTAAAAGAATTGTGTAGTCGCGCCATTTCAACTTCGTAGGTGCAATATCTTTTATTGAAGCATTAATGACTGTCTACAAAGTTAAATTCTACCCTTTTATAGACCTGATCGAAGTAGCAATCAGCTCTCATCCTCATCGGACTCAAACTTCCAAGTGATCACCCCAACAAGTCTCTCTCAACCGTCTCAATCTCCACCACCTCCACTTCAATCCATTCCTCTTGTGAGAGTTGAAAGTCCCAAATCTCCCCCCAAGTCCCCCTTGGATGGTAACGTGGACTCTCAAAAGCGCTCCTATCTCCTCAATTTCCTCCTTCCTCATCGAGGACGTTCAAACGGAGTTGTTGGAAAGCCAAGGTGTAAAGGGGGAGTTGGTGGAGGAAATACTGGTTGTCCGGAGTTTGCATTGTCTACTCGGCTTGATACCCCAGACTGATGCGTTCACCTGCCGACTGATTGTTTACTCATTTCTTTTTCAATCCTATTGCCGCCAAATTGCGTCGTTATCAGAATGATGAGAATGCTTTATTTTGATTATCTATCTCTTTTACTCTCTTTGAGTGCATCTTTCCCTATTCTATCCTTACTGTGTTTACTCCTTTCTTTCATTCATCTTGCCTCTCTGGAAGTACTGGACTGATGAGCTTATTCGCAAAAGTTTACAACTTCGTGAGCGCACACGATCGAATGCACACAATCTGCACATAATACACGGAAAGTGCTCGTATCAACGCAGGAGTTTTAAGAATTGTATTTGCATAATATATTTACATATAAATAAATATATAGTCGTAATTTTAATCGCGCCTGCGGTTTTTCTTCAATTGCCTGGGATGGTAGGGGGGGGTGGGGGGGGGGGGACGGTTACTAGTTTATGGTCACTTAAACTTGGATCATACTTCTTTAATTCAATTTGGTACGAATGTGTTATATTTCCAACTATTATAGTAGCAAATGGACTAATGCCCCTCTGGGGAGAAAGTGTCAAATGTCAATTAGCATGAATTACTTAAAATGATGCTGGGTGCAGGTAATGTGTGTTGGCTGAAAGGAATATATATATATATACCAGCTAGCATTTTACGAATTTCATCTCTATGGATGGAGTAATGTTGATGGCAGATTTATGGCCGGTAAACTGAAAATGTCTTTTTTTGGGGTCATGAGGGGAGGGGGTTCATTTTGAAGGAGTTTGATGATGAATGAACATTGATTGATTGACCTTCGTCGTTTCATTGGCATTATGGGGTTAAGTAAGGCTGAGTATGCCCAAAATCGGTACAATATCATAGGTTTCTTCAATCGAATTATTGGAATTCAATGTAATTGCTAGAGCTTTAAATTGCGGGTATGAAAACTTGGTCAAATAACATAGATAAGAATTACTTTTGTTTTGTGACAAAAGCAACCTCCTTTTTAAGCCAATTGGCTGAGTTGGTCCAGGCAACAAAATTAAGATTGTCATTTAACTGAACACACATTCAATTTCTTAAATGAGTCCCGAAATATTCAGGAAATTGCCCAATCTACTTGTCTTAGAAATATGAGGTCATTGATAAGCGCCCAACAACAAACCACACTAATTAAGACTGACTTCCAAAGTGGGTGGGGGGGGGGGGGGGGGGG